TGCCATCAAGGAGGTTTTGGTATGTATTCATCCTGGCGATCCTCGTTTTCAAAATTCCCACAGGACTTGTTTTTATCCGTGAAATGCCTCTGAATCTGCCACCATGTCTTTGTATTCACTTGAAGGAAAGTGTGGAGAAGACCAAAGACATGCTGAGTAACGTTGTTTCAGATGAAACCAGTCTGGACGCTAAGATAGAAAAGAAGAAGCAGGAGCTGGAGAGGAATCGGAAAAGGCTCCAGACACTGCAGAGTGTCAGGTCAGTTCACAACCTGACAGGTAACAGACAGGCTAAATGACAGGAACGGTTCCCCAGTGTTCGAGGAAATTAAAACAAAGCACAGGGTGAATGAGAGGGACCTTCATTTCGAGTTGAATTACTTGCTCAGAACTTTTTGTCTTTGACTTATACTGAGTCTTTAAGCAAAACTGACCCTTTTCTAAATGCTTATCTTTTTGTTCCTCTCTCATTTTTTTAGGCCAGCCTTCATGGATGAATATGAAAAGATTGAGGAAGATCTACAGAAGCAATATGAAACCTTTGTGGAGAAGTTCAGGAACCTCTGCTTCCTAGAGTCTCAGCTGGATGAATACCATAGACTGGAACAAGAGAGATTTGAGGTATGTGTATATGAAACATAGCTTTTTTAAATGTCTTTTACACATACATCCTACAGATCTGTTGTATAAAATGCTGCATTGATGTGTTCTTCGGATGGTCCAGTTTCCCAAGTTGAGAAGTCATTCTGCTGATTTTGTTCATGAGCCTTAAGTCGTAATGTGGAAACAACATGGAAGATGTGTTGTATTTGATTGCTTAGAGCATTTAAGCAACATGTTTACGTATTACAATGTAATAAAGTGTTGTCCCAGACTTGTTGCTGCAACAGTACATCCCTAAAACTGCTAAAAAATTGCTTACCTTACTACTTATAAACTTTTCTAACTAATCTAGGTCACTCTACATGGACAGCAACTAATGGTTACAACCTCATATATTAAAAGTTTATTACCATCAGCTGAACATTTACTTTCTCTGCCGTGTTCAGGCTCTAGGACGTCAACTTGACAACTTGTGCCAAAATCTTTGCAGACTTTTTGAGTTGTTCGGACTTAAGGGGAACATTCACGTGCATTTGCCACAGTTATACTACCATACTAAGGCATCTCTAGACATTCAGTACACACCCAACAAACCACATGAGCATAATTGAAAGGAGAGTAACCTCTCGTAAGAGTTTGACACAAGGGATAAATGAGAGTCCTTCCTTTCTGTGTAAAAATATAATTGCTGGCTTGTGATGGTGGTTAGTAAGACAATACTGTTACCAAACATAAATGGGAGTAACTCACACTCTGACTGCAGTGGGTAGAGGAGAATACGCTCTTCATGCTGGCTATAATGTTCCTTGTTCTTTTCTTACCACTGCAGGAAGCTGAAAACACAATGAGGATGATGCAGAATGTATTGAGGGAGGAGGAGGAGAGGGATCTGACAAGGAGTTCTTGTGAGACAACCAATCACATGCTGTGAAAGCTAAGCAATAGTCACATACTGTAATATCAACCCCCTTTCATGATCTCACACGCTTGTTTTACGAAATATGTTTCCTGCAGTGAAAGATGAGGATTCTGACATGGATGTTCCAGAGGACGAAGGTTCAGACAGCGACATGGAAGAGTGTCGACCCTCTAAGCCACGGCCCACACGGAACGGCATCATGGCAGGTACACAGACGAGGGATAAAATTGGTTCATTATAGACAAAATTATCTCCTCAGTTACTTTCTATGATTCTGATTGGTTTTATATATGTGGTTCTCACAAATAAATGTTTAACCCAATAAAAATTAGCATTGAATTTCACATAAATTGAGCGTTGCCTTTTTTTGCACGACAGGAAGAGGAGCTCGATTCATCGGGAACATGCAGGGCGGTGATAGTGATGAGGTTAGTACTGTCATAGCTACATCAATTTAAAATGATTTCCTTTAAGCATCTCTTCATTTTGTGTGTTACAATTCGGATTAAAGACTTTTTTTGCTGATTTTGCTTCCAGTGGCCTCAGATGGTGCTCTTTGTGCTTTCTCTCACCACAGAATAACATCATGCTCTTTACTTTTTTGTCATTTACAGCTGTAGTATCCCATGCACCAGTTCTGATCAGTTTCACCAGTTTCACACCCCTTTGGGTTTCCATTTTGTACTCTTACCTTTCACTTGCATTTCAAAAGCCCCCTTTAGCTGCTTCCAGAAGGTCATTGCCTCGTGCCAAAAAACAATGGAAAGGAAAGGTTTGTGCAGGACCAGGATCTAGTTCACTCTCTGTTCCTAAGTGTATTTAAAGGAAAAATCCATTCTTAAATTCTCTGACAGAGTCGAGGTTTGTCTCCCAGTCCACGGAACGGGACCTCATCAGTTGCACAGTATAGCCTGTATCAGTGTTTGTACAAGTAACAAAGTGGAGGAGATGTACACCCACGTTTTGGCACACTGTCTAACTCTCAGAGAACATTTACTGTTTTTTGAATCACACCACTACTGAAGTACATAGGTAGTATAAACCTCACCACCTGTGTTAGTGTTGCTGAGAGGTATGGAAAGAAGAAGACAGCGTTGAAGTGAAGTGTGTAGAATGGATTTTTCCTTTAAATTAGGTATATGATTTAACTGGTCCCCATAGTGATCCGGCTCAAGGTGGACATGTCCCTGTTAAATCAGCTCTGTACTGGACTTGTTTTCATAACAGACAAAGAGGTGATTCAGTGGTTAGATCTGTCTGATTGAAGTGTTTGTGAGACATTAGCTGGTTCAGTGTTTAGTTAGAATGATAACATGTCCATCCCTGTTGTAGTTTAACATCGTGTGTTAAATAATTGTCCATGAATCATGTTACTGGACTCTGCAAACTGAGCTTTTTGTAATTGTGTAGTTATTACGTGTCTCTGCTCGCCTGCTGTTTCAGAGTGAAGACAGTGAGATCGATGTGGACGAGGACGATGAGGAAGACGATGAAGGAGAGGAGGAGGAGAGCAAGGATTTGGAGGATGACAGTCTGGAGGGCCCAGTGTCCAGGGGAGCTCACCCTTCCAAGGGAGGCATGAGACAGCCTCTGCTGGAGGAGAGCGACAATGACTTCTAAATGAATACAGACAAGCTCCAGCTGCTTCTGTATCCAGATTAGACCATCTGATTACTTCTGAGAGAAATGCATACATTATATATCATGATGTTGTTTTTACATCATAAAGAATTCATATAGTTTCTATTTTTAATATCTGTAAACTGTTTACCTTAATAAAATATTAATTTTATGTTTCTTCCGTGTCTGACAGCAGTATGAAATGTTATTCTGCTATGAGTCATTCAGTCATATATTAAGGCTGAGTATTTAGTATTATATGCAATTTTATAGTTCATACCAGTAGTGGAGGAAATATTCAGATCCTTTATTTAAGTAAAAGTACTAACACCACACTGTAAACATACTCTGTTACAAGTAAAAGTCCTGAATTTAAAATGTTACTCAAGTAAGCAAATAAGTATAATCATGTACTTCAAGTATAAAGTGTAAAAAAAATACCCAATCCAGAAAAATCTAAGAATAAAAGCCAAACAGAAGAGAAACCTAAAAAATATTTTAAATGACTTAATAGGACTTAAATGTTTATTAAAAAAAGTTGCTAACTGATTTATTGACCAATTGTTTCCACTGTACTTGTATTAACTGTCGGGTAGTTTAATTTATAACAAAATATACTTCATAAACGTATGTTTTTTATGCAAATATCTTCATTTGTAAAATAACTAGTAACTAAATCTTTCAGACAAATGTAGTAGAGTAAAAAGTGCAATATCTCCCTCTGAAATGGAGCTCAAATTTGTTCTTACGTACAGTACTTGAGTAAATGCACTTAGTTACATTCTACTACTGGTTTATACACCCCATTTTAGAGGACAACACCATACTTTAAAAATCTGTTGTAACCTTAAGATAAATACTGCTTTGTTGGATTTTTACATTTGTATCTAAATGAGATATTTTCTTCGATACTTAAAAAAAAAATACATTTGAAATGGAAAAACATTAAGAGACTTATAAGACGATTTGAAGCAATATCTGTTCTTAATAGTAGAACATAAGGTTCACTGAACTGGTTTTCTCTGAAATCAAGCGACTGTTATTTGTTTATCAGGGGAAGTGTCCCGCTGGGATGTAAGTTGTGGGGTTTTTTTTGTTTTTATCTTGACCCTCCCAGAAGCTACAAATATTTTGTCTTGAGACCCTGAATGACTGGGGAGATGCATGATCCTCCCTCTACAGTTCATTTTTCACAAAATTTTAAATAAGGTAATAAGGAGGACAAAGTGATTTGGGTGAAATATCACTAATTTAAACTTTGGTTATGATTTTTTTTTTCCTGGCAGAAGCATTTATTGCACATGATATGTTTATGGACTGTCTGAAATTTGAAAATCCAAAGACAATTTCTGTTTTCACAGTTTCTGGATATGATAAATGGTGTTATTTAAGCAATTTTAAAAACATGCCTTATAAAAGGTATTTAAAATAGGATATTTAAAATAAATGCCAAATACAACCAATTAAAGTTGTATGTCCCTCCCCTAAGACAAATAAAAAACATGTCCCTCTCCAGTCATTTGACATGCCTCCCTCGTTTTGCACCACCCCTCCCTCATGATAAATAAGGAACAGTCCCTAATCAACTTAATCATTTAGGACAATGAGGCAAAATGTATTCACAAATAGGAAGATAGATTTTAAATGCATGTTCACAATTTTCTGTAGGATAGATACACTTGAAAACTAAGAAGTATTTATCCAAAAGCTATAGCTGAGTTAAAAGCCTATTTGTTATTATTTATTCTATTTTATTTTAACCTTAGTATGAAACCAACAGTACGTGAAATACCTGCTACTTTCAGTGAAATATGCGATAAAAGTACACATGAAAGATTTCATCCGGTCTCGTAACCATAGGAGATCAACGTCATCAGTGTGCGCGGTGGTTCCACAGAGGAGGTGGCAGACAGATGCCTCTTCGAAACAACACTCAACAGTCGTGTGCTTACGACCTGTTTTTCCTCTCATACTGGTATGAAACCATAGTTTTGCTTTGTGTGTTGTGCTTATTATCATCTTAGCTAAATGTAGGTTAAATTAAAATAAGGAATGACCGACTCGTTAACGAGCAATCCAGTCTTGTTTATCAGACTAGCATCAGCTAGCTGTAGCTAACTAGCTAACGTTACACTGACAAGCAAAACTGCAGCCGTTTGTGTAACTGAGAGACTTCAGTTATGGCGCAGTTAACCTCCTTATCTGCCAACAACTGATTTTTGTGTTTGCTAATCCACATTTTATAAGTAATGCTTAATTATGGTAGCCACCTCATAAGGATAATAGTGTTCTGTTACTTTATTTACAGGTTACATGATATTAATTAAGGAAACGTTTGATACTTTCTCATCTAACGCTGCTGCTGAGCATTACTTATAATATAACTAATGAATGTTAAACAATCATAGCTTGAGCAATACTTAGGTGATAAACACCAACAGGAAATGCCATCACCACCTTGACATAAGTACACATTTAGGTAGGGTTTTGAGTCATTGTAGGTATAACTGGTTATATCAGTGTTTAGCATCAGCCTTGAAAACTCTCCTGTCAGTCAGACTCTTCTGAAGATCCCATGTTCTCTGTCTCTTGTCTCAGCTGAAAAGCAGCTGTTGGGATGCCAAAGAAGTTCCAGGGCGAGAACTCCAAGGCGGCCACAGCCAGAGCCCGCAAGGCCGAGGCCAAGGCAGTGGCAGACGCCAAGAAGAAGCAGCAGGAAGAGGATGCTCTGTGGCAGGAAACCGACAAACATGTACTCAAAAAAGAGCAGAGAAAGGTGAGATGCCTCTTCAATGTGATGCTCAATACTGGGGGAAGTCACAGTTGTGCTGCTGCTAAATTTGACTTAACTGGTTTGCTGTTTCTTTTGCTTTTTTGTGGAGGATGTGTGTACAGTCATTTTACTTTAAGTTGAAATAATAAAAACATGAACAAGAAAGGAAAATAAATACATATAAGCTCATGCTGGCAGAGCTGTTATTTATTTTTTACTCGGTGTTTTTATCTGGATAGGAACCTTGCTTGTAGCCTCTTATTACGCACACACACACACACACACACACACACACACACACACACAGGTCCAAAGTCTAGATGGGATTAAAAGTTAATTATCCCTAGTGGGACATGTTGTATAGGCAAGTAGTCACAGAACAAACAACAATGAGAATGGAGCAGCTGAGGGAGACATACCATAATCAGCATAAAAGTTAACTTTACGTCTTATCAATTACACACAGAAGTTAATTGACCACAGCAGACAGTCTTAGTCTTATGGAGACTTGATAGGGGAACTATTCTAGCATTTCTTTGGTACCGACTGCTGTAAGTATTTGATTGCACCATACTTTTTCCTCTGTGACATCAACGAAACATCGGTGAAGCTTGTTGTTACAGTGATTGCATTTGTCATGATATATCTAATGGTCAAACTTATTTAAACCAACATTATTACATTTTTAAAGGGATACTTTGCTGATTTTCAACCAGCTTTGTATAATAACAGTGTGGGTAGTATGTGTAAATGTACTGTGACAAACTTCCCTCCATCTAACAAGTGCCTACATCTCCCTTTCTTCACCCACCAGCAGTAACGTTTATTGGTCAGGTCTGGCGCAGTGCATTCTGGTCGTTGTAGGCCACAGCCCTTTGTCTTGTGTACTTGTTTCTGGTCATGTAGCAGCGATTTCAAAAGTATCTCCGTATTTCTACTGCATAGACCTTCTAGTTTTATTAAAAAGCCATCTTTCCAGCAGTGAATTACTTCTTTAAGTCTGACAAGACTGTTTTTTTCTTTTGCAGGATGACAAGGAAAAGAAGAGGCTTGAGCTCCTTGAGAGGAAAAAGGAAAACCAACGACTTCTGGATGAGGAGAGCTCGGGCATAAAAGGCAAATCTCAGAGGGAGGCTGGACCTGGGGGAAAAGTGACTCGTGCCCAGATCGAGGAGGTGCTTCAGAACGAGCTACAGCAGCAGCAGCAGCAGCAACAGCTCAAGCCAAAAGGTAAATTTCAGGTTAAAGGTGACGACACAAGTGTCAAAATAAAGATGACTCATGAGTGTAGATACAATCCAGCAGCATTGGCTGTTTTGGGGATCAAACAAGACATTTGATGATGTTATCCTAGGCTCTGGGAAACACTGATCAGCATTTTTCACCATTTTCTGACCAAAGAACTAATTGATTGATTGAAAAAAAATTGACAGATTAATTTACAATGACAATAATAATTAAGTGCAGCCACAGAGCAAACCAGTTACCATCAAATAAAATTTCTTCTCACAGAAAAGAGCCACCTGGAGACTCCACTGGAGGAAAACGTGAACAGAATTATCCCTGAGGAAGGAAGCGTGGAAGCCAGAACAATAGAAGATGCCATCGCGGTGCTCAGGTACCATCTGTACAGTGTGTGACATCCGATTGTCCCTGTGATTACTCTGATACTGATCTGAATTAAGTTTCTTAGCCTAATGAAACAGCGCTGATGATATGTGGATGTCACCAATTCCTCATTACATCCTCTCTTCCTGTTTCCAGCACTGGACCTGAGGACGTGGAACATCACCCGGAGCGGAGGATGAAAGCAGCGTTCGCTGCCTACGAGGAGGCCAACATGCCTCGCCTAAAAAACGAGAACCCCAACATGAGGCTGTCGCAGCTGAAGCAACAGTTGAAGAAGGAGTGGATGAAGTCGCCAGAGAACCCCCTGAACCAGCGCTTTGCCGCGTACAATACGAAGTGATAGCACTCTTCCCCCCCGCAACTCCATTTAAAAACTGTCTGCCTGTGCACACGGGAGACTTCCATTGAAAAAAATTAAGTAATTCATTTAAAAACGAGAAAAGTTGCTGATGAGAGCTTCACGACTTCCCGCCCAGAAACGATCTCTCCAGTGCCACATGACTCAGCTTGGTTGTTCCATTCACTAGCAAGGAGAAGCTCATTTTCCCCAACAAGGTCACGAGCGATCACGATGTCTGTGCACGTGGCCTCTAATGTGGCACTTAAGCGTCTAATGAATTTAATTACATGATTTTTTTCTAGCACATCTGGGGAGGTGGGAAGCCAGATGTTTTGAGAGTAACTTATTAAAGTTCACCACTCGATCATCAACATGTCTTTTTGCTTTTAAATGTGAGACGTCTCCTTCTTTGACGTTAGGGGGCACATAAATCAAGTCACACACTGAAGTCAAGCATTTTTGCCTCCTGCAGCTGTCATGTGTTGGTTCCTCCCAAAAGATGATGGAGTTCAAACTTAAGTGGATACAGTTTTCCAGTCCAGGGTAAAGAACGCTCACCATTCACCAGCTGAAATGGTACTTTAAAACTTGAAAATAACTTTTTTTCTCCTGTTCCTTTAGTTACTTTGGCAATTGACTAACCAGTTTCTTCAAAGGAGCCATTTGTTTGCTTTAATAGCCGAACAGTTGGCATTGAATATTGAAGTCACTGTTGCTAGAGGATTAAGAGTCTTGCCCTAAATATAAACACATGTAAAGTGCGTTTTATCCCAGGATATCTTCACTGGGTGTTTTATGCTAAACCCTTTCACATTTATTTTATCATATGGTTGGAATGGTTACACAGATAAATTGTACTTGTGGAGGTTAACTGCTCCGTTCAATGCAGCAAATGTAAAATGTGAATTAATTGAATCGTTACTCCTGACTGTACTCAAGCTCGAGTATTTACATAGGTAGGATTCTTTCACAGGCCATTCAGCCTTGTGAATGTCTGATATAATAGTAAGCCTCCAATATCCCTCCGGTATCTTAAAGTGTCATTGTCAGGGGAGTTTGCTGAGCGCAGACTTGGTTACATAGTTTCTATTAAAACCCAAATGTGACACATCTTTCAACACCAGAGTGTCATCATCTTGTCATAGGCCTGGTATAACTGTCACTTCATTGCCTTATTTCTCAGCTACAGAGAGAGAACACTACTTCAGCCATGTTTACGAGGTGACAGATGCTCTATAATATTTCATCATTACAGAAAAGACTTTACACAACAGATACGGCTCTGTAAAGTCAACAAAATCATCAAGATGTTTTTTTCTCATCCTAACCATCTCCACGCGTCAAACTGTAGCTGAATTTGGCCTCCCTTATCTTCTCAAGCAGACCTTTTGGCCTTTCGCCAGCAGCGACTACAAGGTCCTATTATCCTATCCTAGCACCAAGGTTATGATCCAAACACACAGAGCTGTGTTGGTTTTGTGTTTTAAGTTGGACTCATGCTGCAGTGTGCATGGATGCAACAATCCCTTTTTTAAAACAAGTCACATGCTCTGCTATTTGGAAGAACTGCACTGGTAATCTAAACAAAATGTGAATCCAGATAACTGCAACAACAAAGTTTAAATTAGGGATCTACTTCCTGTTTTTTTTCACATCCTAACTTTCAGAATTATAGCATTTTGATTTAACACAACTGTGGTAGTAGTTCTAACTATTAAATTAGTTTTGCAGTCATTTATTTAGCCAGCAACGGCGTCCAGTGCTGCCGTTTGTCACAAAGGTTTTCTCCAGCACAGCAACATTCACATACTGAGCTGCTGAGGCAGCACGCTGTCGGCTTTGTAGGTTTGTCTGATGCCAGGTGGAGAGACAGAATGCAGGAATAGAAAGTGAGCTTTGGCAGCCTTAAATGTTAGTAACACAGGTAAAACAAGATCAACTATTTAAAATATCTGCAGCGTTTTTTGGGAAATGGGGTTGGCTCTTCCACGGGCTTGAAAATAAAGGGAAATATACAGTGTGAGTGTAGACATTTATAGAGATTTTAAATGCTTAGGGAATGCAAAAATAGTTTTTTGGCCGATATTCAAGAAAAGCAAATTACATTTCTGGGAATACTTTGTTTTTTAAATTGCATGTACTTCACATTAAGAGGCATCAGGCCGAAATGACAACAACAACAAAGTACTTGGTTGAAAGAAAAAAAAACAAGGCCACTCCTGCTGACTGAATCTAGATTTTAAACATGTGGGAGCGCTTTTAAACAGGAGTATTTCTTTAATATATCTTTTCAAAGTATTATCAGGAAGTTGTTGTTGTTAGATTTGTAAGAAGACATCTGAGGAGACTTGATCCATTCAGAACCAGATTTAAAAACAGGCCACTTTTGTCCAGCCAGGCTGTTGTGGCGGAGGAGATAAGAGCCTGTGCGAAGGCCTTTGAACCACAGAGCTTCAATGACAACTTCGGCTGACCTTTTGTTTTCCTTTCTGCATTGAAAGCGACCGGTCCCCTTTCCCCCCCCCCATAGCAACCAATCAGTCCACTCCCAATTTATTGGGATTTCTTTGAGCTTGTGCGTGTGATGTTCCGCCCTAAACACTCGGGTCTGATGTTACAGGTTTTTGTTTCTCTGCACACTCCCACTCCCTGTCCATTTGCATGGCAACCCTTTACCAGGCCAGCTGCTGCTGCCCTTTTCTTTCTTCATGTTGAATCCTAATCATTACTTTCAAAGGAGAGCGTCTCCAAAGCTCCTTTATCAAGTGTTTGTACTGGGAGGAGGCAAGCCGCTGTCCAGCACCCACTCAGGCTGCTCCTCTTCTTAACTCTGTTCTGCAAGCCATGCGCATTTCCTATTAGTAACCTGCTTCTTCAAGTTTGGAGAAGATAACATATGGAAGAAGAAGGTAAGGAACACCAGTATAGTGGGGATTTGTTCATATATTATTTTCATTTGTGAAGAAAACATTATAAAAACAATTTTTAAGGGGTTAACTTGCATTTGAAGGGTTAAAGTCTAAATTGAGACAGCCGCAATTTAAATTTAATTAGGTTTGCACTCTTAGAAAATGATTAGCACCCATGGAAAATGATGCGTAACTTGGAAAGCACATTAAGATCAACTAGCTCACAGTCAAATGCTGTTATCTTTGAGTGTTTATATTTACTCTGGGACTTATTTTCTCAAGCTAATTTATGACTGAGCACAAAGATGCTGTTGGCTCACTTTTTTTTTTTAATTTTCAGGATGTTTTTTTTAATCTACCCATTGTTTTACCCATGACAATTAAAGTTTTTCAGCTGAGCTTTAGGAGTTCAAAATTTAGCATAAAGCCTGTGGTGCATCATGTTTGTTATGTACGTCACACCAGGATGACATGTTTAATGAAAATAAAAGGATAAATCAGAACTTTTCTATAAAAAAAATGACAATTTTGCATGTTTCAGTGATTCAGTTATGATCACTGACTAGAGGTCTTAGTTTCTGAACCTTTTTCACTGCTCTGTTTTATCACAGTAAAAACCAAAAGCAGATTACATTGAATTACATCCACTTTTTAAACCTTTGTAGATAAAAATTTATGACTTCATTATTCTAATCTATTGATTTCTCTCCCCCCAAATAGTTAAATATTGTGTGTGAAATTGGCGTAATTCTCTGAGCTTTTCCGATTTCTTTGTCCAGTAAACTAACAGAGGAGGGGGTCACAGCTGCCTTTGACAGAGTGTTTCATATTCACAACCAGCTGAACACACAATTTGAGATTTTAACAAACGCTGCTTTTACAGCATGACAAGGTTTTTGCCTTGAACAGATACTCTATGTCATTGTGTTAAATAACGACTGTTTAAGGATTAAGCTTTTTCCCAGACTATTTAACACTGAGCGAAGGCCATTACTGAGGCAAAAGAGACAAAAGTCAAAGATAAAAATGCCCCTCCAGGTAGTGAGAATATTTTATTTTTAAAGCAGAATAACATTTGTTTCTATGTGAGGACTATGTTTAACTTCAGAGTTTGAATTTGTTAACACTTTTTTGTATGTTTCTATTTTGCTTGGGACATTTGAGGATCTGAAAGTTCATGCTTTATACCTTTTGCTCTTTCATGGGCTGTGTATGAAGCAAAAAAGGAGCAAAACTACGAAAACAATGTGCATACCATTCAGCTGTAACATCCTGAATTCAAATATATTTCAGGATCGTTATCGTAAGCCATCCTCTTTCTTAAATGATCTGTGATCTCATTTCAGCTCTGCACTGATGCCATGAGGTTGATTCTGGTCAAACCCACCAACGCAACGCGACGTCTTGACTCAACAGGTGAGGTCTTCCATGATGGGGACCATGAGCATTGTACCTCAGGAGGTCCATCCTCAAAAACTCCTGAGGGCATGCGGGATCGATACTCGGGTGCCTCTGTGGAAGCATCTTCTTCCGCGCAGGAGATGAGTCTCTGCTGTGTTTCATCTTTGCCCCATGAAAGATCTAATGGAATCAGCCCACCGAGAGATTCAGCCCAGATGTCGCCACTGAAAACCCAAAACCTAAACTTATCACATTTGAGTGACCAGGACTGGCTGTTGCTTTGTGGCCAGGTTAGCAGCGTGGGAGATGAATCACCCTCAGTGGAAAGAGCAGGAACCAGCGTGGGACATCCAAACCCCAGTGACAGATGTGGTTGTTCCTGTCCTGATGCACACCAACATCCAGAGGCTTCTACTTTTCATCAGGGCCCAGTCCAGCAAGGCTGCCTCTCCAGGCTTTCAAACAGGAGAAGCCTTTCATCTTCACCACACACCCAGCCTTTCTCCCAGTGCACCCAAGCTCCAACCCCTTGCCAGGTTTTACCACAGCAAACAAACCAAAGGAATCTTTTGAAACCTGCAACAAACCATCCGCAGGATAATTTCACGCTCCAGCACGGTGACCAAGACGGTCGAAAGGAGTTACTGCAGCAGCAGCAGCCCTGCAATCATTTTAAACTTAAAGACAGCAGCAACACAACTTTATTCAACATTCCCCTGACCTCAGTCGAGTGTGCTGAGACAAATCAGAAGCTCCACCAACACCCTCAGCCTGCCGTCACCGCAAACCTCAACTGGAGAGAGCTCTTTGGCAACGAACCACTGTTAGTTCAGCAACGTCAAAGGAAAGACTCTCAGTGCTCGATGAGCGGTGATCAGAGCTGCAAGTCATCTGGAGAACCCTCCATTGTCCTCAAGTGCCGTCATCTCCCATACAAGCCTTTGACCAGCACTCCGCGGGTGCAGAGATCGTCTACGCCAGCCAGTAACAAAAGTGTCCAGTCCTTCTCCACCAGCCAGTATAGCTCACTTGAGAACCAGGATCTAGTGGAGGAGAGAGCT